GTTTCCGCAGCTCTACTGTACTTGATAAACACGATGCATTTCCTGGGAGAGTTCACACTGTGGTGAAGGAACGACATGAGGAGGAAGGTTTTCTCACAAACACAGGGAGGAAGCAGCCTGCATGTAAGAGCTCCATCAGCTCCTCCCTGAGGGTCGGCGCCGCCTTGCATTAGGACGCAGAGAGCCAGTGAGTCACCTTGCCCCGGCCCATCCTGCCAGCGATTACCACTGTCAGCTGCTCCCGTTGTTCCCCCGAACCAAGGTTAAGGAGCCGCTCGGTGCAGAGCCTGAGCTCAGCACCACTGTTTGGTTATTCAGTCACATGCTCTGACATGAAGAAGGAAGAACTTCCAGGATGGCGTTCCAGGCAAACCGAAGCTGAGCAGCTGCAGTTTAGGCGTCATTCGCTTTATTTTTTGCACCTCTGACTTGTGGAAGTAAACGGATCGGCACTACATTCATATCAGCCCTCTGATCCGGTGTAGCTCCCACTTGGGCTGCCAGAGCAGACCATGTGACCTCTGGGGCCGTCCCGCGGCGTTTGGCACCGAAGCGTTGGCAACAGATCCGTTGGGTCCTGTGGGTTGCAGAGTCGAGCCTCGATTGTTGGATCTTGATCCAGCAAATCCTGCGGATGGACCAGGATCTGGGAGGTCTGGAGGCCGCAGCGATGCCTTGGACTCTTGGTCGTGGTCCTTGAGCTGACCTCAAGCAGTTTGTTGTGTTGTGGTGCGGTGTTCTGGAGCAGGAGAACAAACGTGTCACCGTAAAATCCACATGAAGGTCTGGACTCCCAGCAGAACCTGGTTCTAACGCTGTGGCCCGTTGTTGTGTCCTCTGATTTAAAAGTTCTGTTGCTGCTCTTGTGGTTCTGTTCATGAAGGCGCACATAGCAGATCTTCCTTTCATTCTTCTTCTTCAGTTGTTGCTCTTTTGTAAAACACTTAAAGCTGCATTTTGTGTTCAGCGGCTGATTGAAGATTTTTGTCTTGGTTGTGTGACTTTAATCAGACTTTGATGATCGGTTGTTAGATTCTCGTGTCGCCATCTTTCAGGTCTGTAAGGTTTCATTCATGTAGGATCCCACCAACAGGACTTTGACAAACAGATTTTTTCAGTCACACTTTGACTTCAGAGCTTCGAAGGATCAGTCGTTTGGTCGATGGAAATATTTGAAGTAGAGGTCGCTAAAT